GCATTTGGGGATACATAAATAGGTAATAAAATCATAAAGCAAAAGAAAGCAAAAACAAAAAATTCAGTATTATAGTTACCCAAGGTTGGGCAGGAGGGTGATATGACTGGGAAGGGGCGTGCAGTGGGCTTCAAAGGTAATCGTAATGACCTCTGCTTATGTTAGGGAGGAGAGTACAAAGAAGCATTCGCTTTGTTCTTTCAGAGGCCAAATCAGCGTGGCCCTAACGTAGATTGTGGTGTCCTCTCTGAGGATGGGGCATCTAAGCTGAGGCCCCAGGGATGAGCTGGACTTGGGCAGATGAAGAGTTGAAGGGGGAGCCCAGGATATGCAAAGGCCCTGGGGTGATGTGTCTGTCTCCGAGGGCTGCTGCAACAAATCACCACAATCTGGGTGGCTTAGAACAACAGAAATGTATCCTCTCACAGTTCTGGAGACTACAGGTCTGAAATCAAGGTGTGGGCAGGACCATACTCCCACTGAAGGCTCTGAGGAAGAATCTATGCCTGGCCTCTTCTACTCTGATGGTTGCTGGCAATTCTCATCTTGTGGCTGTATGACCCAGGTTCTGCCTCTGTCACCATGCAGAACTCTCCCTGTGTGTGTTTCCACGTGGCCTCCTTGTAAGGACACCGGCCATTGGAATGAGGGCCCACCCTAAATCTAAAATGACCTCAAATGACCTCATCTCCAGATCCTTCACTTAATTACATCACAAAGACCCCATTTCCAAATAAGGTCACATTTACAGGTTCCAAGGACTTTGGGGGGCAGAGGGACACAATTCAACCCATGGCAGGTGAGAACAAGGTTTGCACATCTGAGAAGCAGAAAGTGGCTGGTATGGCCAGAGCTGAGTGGAAGGGGAGCAGAGGTCAGCAGATGGACCTCGTAGGACCTTGAGGCTGAAGTCAAGAAATGAACTGTCTTTTCAAACCAGATCCTCTTTGGTAATCGGGTAGCTGTCACCGGGGGCAGTGGAGTGACCAGGCCATGAGTCTCTCTTGCTGCAGGTTGACCTGGCCTTGTCCTCAGGGTGTATGGGGCTCCCAGAGAACGTGGCAGCACACGGGCCCCGCGTCTTCAAGGCTCAGATGTGGTACCGCTGCTTCTGCCTCATTCTGTTGCTTAGTACCTCTCTCCCAGTGGGTCGTGATGCAAGAAGGGGGAACGGGCTCTCTCCCAATGGGAAGAACTCTGAGGCTCCATGCCGCCGCCGAGGATGTGGAGAAAGGGAGGGAACAACGGAGGTCATCCTAGCACTCGCTCCATCATAGCTGGATTGGAATCGTGGCTATATGACTTCTGAGCTGTGACATTTACATTTCCCTTTACTCCTCTCAACAAACAAACATGGGTAGTAGCTAGTTTACAACACTGTTGCCACGTGGATCAGGGACCACGTCCAACAAAATGTGGAGTCCCAACTCTTCCTCCCCAACTTAATCACATCATTGCCTTAAGCCCCTTCTCCCCATAACCCTCCAAACAAGTCAATTGCCAGCTTTCAAGGCTCACCGCCTCCAGGAAGCCTTCCCTGATAGCATGCCAACCCACCATGACCAGAGCGCTACCTTTGGAAAGCCTTTCTAAACAGTCAAATAAGTGATGCCTAAAACGCTTTGGGGCATTACCTTTTCTACTTAAAATGTCTCAAGCCCCCAACCCATGTGCCCCAAAGAGCCCAGCTTCTGCATTTGGTAAATGAATTAGATTTTTTTAAAAATAGATCAAACACTCACCCCCTCCCCCAGCCATCCTGTTTGCCTTCCTAGAGGAAATCACTGTTACCAGATTCTCGTCTGTTCCCCCAGAGATAGCCAAGCACGGGATCAGCAAACATTTTCTATAAAGAGCCAGGCAGTCAATAGATTCGGTTTTGCAGGCTTATGGCCTTGGTCACAACGACTCACCTCTGCTGTCTCCAAAAGCAGCCACAGACAAGACATAAGTGAACATGTGTGACTCGGTTCCAACAAAATTTTACTGATGGACAGGGAAATGAGAATTTCATATCATTTTCATGAGTCATGCAACGTGATTCTTCTTTTGATATATTTTTCAACCACTTAAAAATGTGCAAACCCTTCATAGCTGTGAGGCCATGACAAAAACGGCAACAGGCCACATCCGGCCCAGGACATGGTTTGCTGCCCAGCGTACAGAAGCAGCTGTGCAGGGAGACCCCTGCGCCTTTCTTTTCTACACCAATGGGAATATCCCTGTGCACCGTGCTTTTTGCCCTTTTATAATATGCCTTGGCAATTATTCCACCTCTATAAATACTGACCTCCTTCATCCTTCTCTTTTAATCTTCAAAATGTCTTTTTAAAGAGATAGTTAATAAACTCTTTTAGAATTGCTTTCAATGTGCAGAAAAGTTGTGAGGATACTCGAGTTCCCACACACCCTGCAGCCAGTTTCTCCTACTGTGAACATTGCTGTGGTACGTTTGTCACAAGGAACGAACCCATATTGATATGTTATTACTAATGGAAGTCCATGCTTTGTTTGGATTTCCTCAGCTTTCCCCTGATGTCCTTTTTCTTTTCCAGAATCTCATCTGGGACCCCACATTCCATTGAGTCATCCTGCGTCCTGAGGCTGTTCCTGGTTGTGACAATTTCCCAGACATCTCTGGTTTTGGAAGACCTCCACAATTTTGAAGAGTTCCGGTCAGGGATTTTTGTAGGATGACTCCCCTCCCACCCTACTGGAGTTTGTCTGATATTTTTTCATAATTAGACGCCTCATGTGGAGGAAATCAAGGGTCCAACTTTCTCTCCTCTCTACATCCTCCAGCCCTTCCAAGCTCTCTCCCCACGGCTGGCCTTTCCCTGGTGGGACATTAATTACTGCAGAGCCTAGACAGACTTCTCATTGCCTGAGTACATTTGTGAAGGCAGCCGTGATTGATTGGAGCTAGTTTAGATTTTAGATTTACCGGCTTTTTTTTTTTTTTTTTTTTTAATCCCCGTATCTAATCAGAGAGCCCAGCCTGATAGGGGCCAGGTGCCCCTGGATAATATTTGGTGGGAGAGAAAAGGAGGCCGGAGACAAAACGGGAAGGCAGGAAAGCAGGAAGGCTAATAATAATGTTACAACCTAGCTGTTTATTAAAAGCCCAGGGATATACAGCCCAGGAACAGTTCTTCCTTTCCCCGACATGTGGGGACCATATTTTCTTGGCCCAGAGTTGGGTCGTGCGATTAGCCGAGAGCATTCCATTTTCTTTTAATACCTTTGAAAGGCCTTCTGATTTGTGAATTTCTTTATGTTTAGTTGCACATTTTAATAAAGGCAGTTCCTGAAAATAATAAAAGTACGTGAAACCAGGCCTCGCTGGGCAACCCACACTTGCCCTCTCATTAAAAGGCTAAGATCTCAGCACTGCCTCATAAAGCTTGCTCCGGCCTGTTCTGACCAGGGCTGCGCTGTGCAGAAAACAACCCCCTAATTGTCATTTAATTAAAGAGCACTTTCATACATATCAATAAATAGCTGTGGAATAAAAAATGACTTGGAAACACAGTGACCCCTTGTCACCTACTCTAGGCTTGAGGGTACATTTTTACATGGGTGTGTGTGTTTTCTTTGAATAGACAGTCTACTCTAAAAGGTGGACAGGGCGAAGTCTGACCTTCAGAGTAACCTACTACCAAGCAAGTAAATCCTCAAGTAACAGGTTGAAGAGACACGCCCACATCCTTCCCCTGGAACCTGTGAACACGACCTTACTTGGAAAAGGGTCTTTAGAGACATCAAGTTAAGGATCTTGAGATGAGACCATCCTGGATTTAAGATGGGCCCTACACCCAATAGCAGGTGTCCTAATGAGAGAACAGAGAGGGAGATAGATTGATTCAGACACCAGAGGAGAGAAGACCACATGAAGACAGAGGCAGAGGTTGGCGTGATGCAGCCACAGAGCCAAGGCTCCCCTGGAGCCCCGAGAAGCTAGGAGGAAAGGTCCTCCCTCAGAGACTCCGGGTGCAGCTCAGCCCTGCTGACACTTTGATTTTGGATTTCTGGCCTCCAGAACTGTGAGAGAATACATTTCTGTTGTTTTAAGCCACTAAGTCTCTGGAAACTTGGAGTAGGTGGTAGGGAACCAATACAGCCCATAATCCTACGTCGACTGAAAAAAAATATGCACAGTCTAAAAATTGAGAATTGTGTTTCATTCGGCAGACTTACTGAGGACTTAAGCCCAGGAGGATACAGCTTCTCAGATAGCTCTGAGGGACTGTTCCAAAGAGGTAAGGAAGATGACAGGATATATGACTTTTTCCGCTGGGGGGGAAAAATGTAGTTGAATATCAAAAGATTACTGCTTGGGCTTCCCTGGTGGCGCAATGGTTGAGAGTCCGCCTGCCTATGCAGAAGACACGGGTTCGTGCCCCGGTCCCGGAAAATCCCACATCCCACATGTCACGGAGCGGCTGGGCCCGTGAGCCATGGCCGCTGAGCCTGCGCGTCCGGAGCCTGTGCTCCGCAACGGGAGAGGCCCCGGAGAGGCCGCAGCAGTGAGAGGCCCGCGTACCGAAAAAATTAAATAAATAAACTTTTAGTGTGGGAAGATGCAAGAGCCTAGGCTCATTGAAATTATTCATTTGATTGCATCTTAACTGTCTTGGGCCAGGATTCTGTTTAAATACAGGAAGTGGCTAAAACGATTTCCGAGCCTAAGCAGAGCTAAAACGCTGTTCTGCCTACGGGCAATCCCCCGCCAATGTTAGAGACCAGCGCCCCCTGGCGGCCTGGCCACTACGTTGGTCTCTCCAGGCGCCGCCAAACAGCCTGTGCCTGCGCAGAATGCAAGCGCTCAGGCCCACCCCTTAGAGGGTGTAACTTCCTTGGGTTGCTCTCTTTGGCCACGCCTACTTCCGGGGGGCGGGCTACGCCTGGAGCACGTGACTTGGTACCGGCTTGCGGAAGATGGCGGCGCCCGGAGCGGTAGCGTGAAATTTGGCGGTGGTAGTCGCAGGCCATTCGTGCTGGAATCGAAACAGTGGGACCGTGCGCCATGTCACGACTCATCGTGAAGAACCTCCCAGATGGGGTGAGTGCAGAGCCTGGACTTGAGAATCTGAAATTGGGACCAGCTAGGAGCTGGAGGTTGGGAGGGAGGTGCCTGGGGAGAACTGAGGGGCTTTCGATCTCGGGAAGGATTCCCGGAGGATTCAGAGCCCGAAAGGGGCAGGCTTCTCGGCAGATTCCCCGTTGACATTTCGGAGAGAGGGACAGTGCCTGCTCAGGGTTTCACAGCCGGCCCGATGGTACGTGATGCCAGCCAGACACCTCCTTCCCCGGGACATGCCAGCCCCCACTCTGTGTCGAATGCCTTGCTCCCACAGCCCTCTTGTCAGTCGCCTTTTTGGGTTGACTCGTGACTGGGTCAGACACTGCGCCTGTATCCCTCTCCCACTCGGGACACTGTTTGGGAGGAAAGTGGGGAGCAATAGACTGAGGACCTGCGTTCCAGTTCCCACTCCCGCCTTTAGGGAAAGTAGGAATAAATAGTCTAAGAAAACTGAGTGAGTGTGAAGGGCTTTAAACAACTTATCCAGTAAGTGCGGAGGGGTGCCCCAGTCATACTTGTCTCCGCCTAGAGTCCGCACAGAACGCGGCACGTGGTAGGTATCCAGTAAATACACGCTGAATAAATGGGTGAAAAAATAGTTGAATGTGTGGTGTCAGACAGTTAGCGCATTGTGCCCAAGTGAATCATCCGTACCTGTTTCACTATGACTTTTCTTGGATAGAGAGGTCCCTAACCGACTGGGGGGGCCA